ATAAATAATTTATGTTAAAAAAAAATCAAGTCAACCGCTTTAACATGATATTATATTTGCTTTCACCCGTTTAAATGTGTTTATGTCGCATTTTTTTTAATGATGTGTAAAATCTGTGAACGGGTCTAGTCGATTGTAATTTTTAGTGTATTGGATAGAGAGAATATGGATGATGGAAGCACTTGTGAGATGAGTCACAGTTGAACTTTTTGGCTATTTAATGTGTGAATCAGAAAATAATATAATATTTACGCCAAATTGGGTGATGGAGGGTTTTATGAATTGAAGATATTTATACAAATATTGAGCGAAAATGATTATTTATGATTGTTTATGATGTTATCGGGGTTATGAGAGTCACGTTGTCTTCTTATCTAATATGTTAACCCCTGAAACAACACCACGAATCGTTAGACGAACCCTGGGTCTTCAACCAAGAGGAGAACACTTCAATGGGATTATGAGTTGTTTGGCTTAGTGGCAGATTCGGAGGATGGGTTCAATTATGCTTTTGGATGAAAGTTGAACCGTTAAAACTCGTTGATAAAAGTCGAACATTCATTCTAATCGAATATGGGGCTAGAGTGGATGAAATTCGATTATGCTTATGGCGGTTACAAACTTTGAGTTTGATTTAGTGGCGGCTTTGAAGGACGGGTTCTATTACACGAGCTCGATATTGTGATGACTAAAGAGACCATTTCTTCCTTAAAGTCAAAAAATATGTGCGGACAAAAAGGCTCCACAACAGATGGTTAGGGCGACAAGGCTCGAGGTGAAAGGTGTCACACCCCGAAACCAATGGCGGAAAAGTTCCGAGGCGGAGGACGTCGTGCGTACTATCACAACCATTGTACATAGTAAGCATAGTAAACACAACCATTACATTATAATAAGAATATTTACATTTATTTAAAAGCATTGAAAACATAGTTTATATACATCAACGAATAATCAAAAATAAAGACGATACTTCTATATGCTCCGTCTTCTACAAAAGTAAGTGAGATACCTGTCTAACGTGAACCTGAGAATACAAGCAGTTGTAAAAATATCAGCATAAAGCTGGTGAGTTCATAAATATGTTTTTTTATTGAAAGCTAGTCACTAAATTTGTATAAATGTTCTCTTTCATTTACAAGTAAATATCGTATGTATCGAAAATCGTTGTTACCAAGTTCTAAAATATGTATGCATGCTTACCAAGAAAATCCAATATTTCTAACATATTTGTTGTTTTCTATATGAAAAATACGTTCTGTTTGAAAACCCTGGCTACCACCAGTATGTAATGTATGATCGTTCGGAAAACCCTGGTTACCACCGTTATGTATAGTTGTTTTATTACTTAAAATAAATCGATAGAAGAAAGAAATCCAGTAAACAAAGATTAGTTTATACTTATTGTGAGTCATATAACCATACTAATCTGACTGATGACTTCCTTGACGTTTCTTCAGGCGTCGCACAATTTCCAAAATTTGTCACCACATGTGTGCCCGCCTAACTGTAGCTAGCAGTTTAGGTGTGGGATTGTCAGTCCCAAATAGATATATCCACAAATTTCACGCTCTCCCTCCAGGAGACTCTGTTATACTACCGGAGAAGATTTATTGGTACCCAGTAGGACATAACGAAGATAAGTCTCACAAGCTAGTATTAACTAATTCACGGAATACTTAGTTGTTATCAAGTTTCGAAGTCGTTTGGAACAAAGTAGAGTATAAATAATTAAACACAAGGTAATTATTTAGTATGATACTCTAGGTTAATAATGGATAAACTAAATTAGACCTAGTTTATATATTGACTTTGCATGAAATTAGAATCTGAAAGCAAGTAATGAAGGTCCCAAATTATTCCCATAATAATTTGAATGGTTTGACAAGCTCCCATGTTGTTTAGAAACTATGTAATTATATTTAGAAAGCGTCCCTTATGCTCTACATATTACAAAAGCGATAAATGTATCTAAAAGTTTGATTGAAAATCGTTATAATTACATCAGTTTTTGAATTACGAAATCCTTTATGATTTGCTTGTATCCCCCCCCCCCCTGAAAACATGAAAAACTCGAAAAAGTGTAGGGGTATGAACTCACCTGCTCTGAGTGGAATGAATGGACGTGCCGGGTAGGATGCTAGGTGTCAATTGAGGACTTGAACACACGCGAGGATCCTATGTAACATGAAGTGATACATAATTGTATTTAATTAGTTGATAAATCACTAATTAAGTAAGCAAATACACTATAATGCGCGAAAACACTTTATTTCAAGTGTTAGGAATGATACAGGTTGCATCTAAGGAGTGTATGGTCTCGTTATGGAGTTTACTCTTCAAGTGGCTGCCCTTAGGGGTGTTTACGGTTTTAAGATCATTTCCCCCATGAGTTTACGGCCGTAAACTCATGGGAATGATGGGTTTGGGTGCTCAAAGGTCTTAAACTACTCAAGGACTTATGCTAGACTAGAATCAAGGGCTATGGAAGTGATTGGGGATTGAAATGGACCTTATTTGGAGTTTACGGTTTTTGAATGCTTCATTGGTGAGTTTACGGGCATAAACAGATTAGTTTACGGCCCTAAACTCATCTTTGACACTTTCTTGCATGTTTTGGTGCTTCTAGGGTAAACATACAAAGTTCTAGCCACTCATTCAAGTCATGGAAGGTGATAAGGGCATTTTAACACCCTAAAAAGGTGTTTACGGTTTTGGGACATTCCCCAACCGTGAACTCATGTTTACTCCCTTCTTTTCATGTTTTGGGGCTCTATGATCATTCATGCAAGTTTCTAGGTCATTAGCGAAGCATTGGAAGGGTTTTGGGGCATCAAAACCCCCTTTTAGGGTGTTTATGGTTTTGGGATGTTCCCACACCATAAACTCATGTTCTTGGGGGTTTTTGGGTGGTTAAACCACGAATTTGCAAGTATGCTAAGCTAAACAACAAGCTAGGAGGGTTTACTTACTGTTATGAAGCTTGACAGGGGCAATTCTTGATCAAAATCCAACTTTTGTAGAGAGAGAGTAGAGAGAGAAAGCTCTAGGGTGTGAAAAAAAGTTAAAATGAAGACCACTCAACCCTTATATAGGGTTGAGTTTACGGCCTGGGTAGGGGTCCACCTAATATTAACCTCAAACAGGGTATTTCGTGTGATTTTTCGCTTTCCGTCACGTATGAAATTACGAAAAATAACTCTAATTGATTTACTTAGCTTAAGAAATTAATGAAAAACTTTTTATAAAAATAGATTTTATTAACGGAAGTGGGTTACATTAACGGAATAAATTTTTGGTTGTCACAAAAAGGGAGCACAATAAGTTGGAGATATGCACACTACTCAAACATAATGATAACATACAACTTGGTTTGCATGGTCATTTATGAGTGACACAATTGATCTAATATGTAAAAGAACAAAGCTATGAAATAAAAGAGGAAAAATAATTTATTATTTATTGGATGCCTAATAAATTATTAGAAATGAATTTGATTAATTTATTATTTATTAGTTTGATATTTCTAAGTAATTAGAAATTAATCATGTGAAATTAATTTTTCCTAAAAGAATTAAATTAATTATTTGGAATATTTAGTAAATAATTCTAAAAAGATAATTATCAAGGAATAAAATCATAATATTATTGGATTCAAATAATGAAATGATTGGATTCTCTCCATCTATATAATGGGAGGAGTAAGGCAACAAAAGTATCTATTGGAAAACCAAATTTTGCCACCTTCTTGGCCGAATCTTTCCCTCATTTTCTCCTCTTCATTTTTCAATCAAAAAAACCTTACATGTTTCTTGTGATCGAAACCCTTTCTGCTCTACAACTAGAGTTATTGCTTGCTTGGCTTGTTAATGGGTGAAATAATGTAATAGGAAATATCGTTTGGGTCCTTGATATTCCAATAAAGTGTTAGAGGCAACTCTTAATCTCTCTCCTAGGTTGGAGTTGCTATTGATGGAAAAAATAATGATCCTGGGTTTAATCATTAGTTCTCTAGTTTTGAATGTTTCAATTGTTATTTTCTTGATTAATTGTTTTAATTTGAACATGAACACCATATGCACTAACAGTGGTATCAGAGTCATCATTTATTTGTTCATAACATATTGAATTTGTTTTTTTTTTTTTTGGAAAATCTAATAGGTATGATCATGTACACATTGTTTAGGGAAGTGTGTGTGAAATATACACATTAGGGTTTCGATCTATTGCATCATGTTAATGGATGAATTCTTTTGTTTTTCAAAATTGGTTGAATTATTTCCCCTTGATTTTTATTCACTACAAGAAAAAAGCCTTTTAATGACGCGCAAACAATGACACTCGCTGATAGAGGACGCGCATTTGTAAGTGCCCTAAAAAATAATGTCAGTTTTGCAAAATTTGAAGGATAGAGGGCACGCATTTGTGTGCGCCCTAAAATTGGTGTTAGAAAAGAAAAAAAATAAATGCGGAGGGCGCCTTTCATAAATTGTGCGTCATGTAAGTGTGTCGCTTTATAATTTTTAAGTGAAACACGCGTTTTAGGTGAGAAATGAAATCGACTAAAATTACCCGCGCCTATTGTATGCCAAAAATTAATCCCCCACCTCTTCTACTTAGCAAGAAAAACCCCAAGGTCCTTCATCTTCATCTTCAGCGGTGGGAATACCTAGGTCGATTATTCAGAGTTCAACAACAAATTTGTAAACAACAAACGTATACGATTGTGGATCTCGGCATGATTATGGCGCTTTGGAGCCGACAACGTGAACATCATTCATGAGAAAAGTTCATACAAAACTCAAGAATTTTAATGGTTTCAATTATTGAGTGGGGTACAGGGAGGTGTAATCGTTTTGGAATCTTTACTAATTGAGTTGAAATTGAACCCTAAAAACTCAATCCACACTTCGAACATCTTTGATTCTCTCTTCTTTCGCTCCCCAATCTCCTTGGCGGCGCTCTTTCCATTTCCATTTCCAACCTCAAACCACCCTTAAATGGAACCCAACAATTCAATCAATCAAATCGGCAATCACATCGACGATGATGGTGATCAGAACTCATTTCCAGGCCACCGTTATCAGATCATCACCTATTCAATAAAGAGAAAACATTCTCAATCTCAGGTAATCACACTAATCGATTCAACACAAGTAAACCCTCTTTCAGAATCATCAGTTCTAGGGCTTGTTCTCCTTACTCATACATTCTCATACGATATTCAAAACCTCACCGAGTCTTTCCTTCTCGAAATCCTCGCAAGATTGCCCTTGAAATCAATTTTTAGGTTCAAATGTGTTTGCAAACACCATCTAGATTTAATTTCTCAGCCTTCATTTTCCTGTTTCTGTTGCTCACATATGCTCACAGCCAGCGCATCGTCATCATCCTTACCTCAAAATTCTCGGTCCTTTGCTCTTTCAAAAAAAGTAAGCAGGTATTTTTCTATGTTCTTGTGGTCTCTTTACTTTCTGCTTGTATTGATAATATTGAACATATGTTTTGAGAATAGAATATTAAACCCTAGATTCTGGGAACTTGCAGAAAAGGAAGGAGATGAGCTATGCACTCCAAGTGTTCGAAGAAATGCTTAAAAGAAAAATCTTACCTAATTTATACCTTATAACATTACCTGATGTACACAAGACCAAGTGATATGGTACCTAATCACACCTTGCACTCGAATGCAGACAGAGTAAGCCTATATGGATTCTTTTTCTTAATTTGTTGGGGATGGTAACTAAGGATCGTTCTTGTGAGCATTCCTTCTTTTCAGGCTGTAGATTATCACAACTAAGCAATAGTTAAACTAAATTTTGTTAGGTGA